CTCCATCAATACTGGAAAAAAACAATAACAGCTACTGGACTTAAGAAACCTATTTTCTTGAAAAATAGTTTTAAAAGAAAGAGTGTATACATTTCATTGACTGCTCTGTCAAGGAATGTCGCATGTTTCCTTATAATAAATCTTGTATCATTGCAGGGACATTATTATTATAAATAAATAAAAATAAAATAAAAATACTAATAAAAATTATAAATAAAATAAAATAAAACAATAACATAAAAACATTGCATAAAATTAATTAAATAAAAAAAAAAAAAATTCTCCCAGCATGAACAAAAACTGTTCTTGCTAGTCATACGGAAATCCCGCTAAAAGATGTTACATTCAATCTCTTCACCACGAACCTTCCCACGGGCAACACGTTTCCGACATATGTCTGTGGTACGGCGTGTAATAATACGAAGTAACTTCTTCCTCTCATCACATGTACCATGAAATAATTGTATTCTAAAAATACACACAAGAAAAATATAAATAAATTGTATGAAATTAACATAAAAACATAAAATTTACGATGCTTTTACTATTATTTCTGTACGCTTTATTTCCTGTCAAGTATAATTTTATCTCCGTGAAAACGAGGCTAATTTCTGCTGCTATGATGTGAGTGACCCCATACCAATATCATTAACATTACCATTCATCATTACCATTCACCATTACTATATTGTTGACTCTATACCTCTTCCTTGAGTAACTTTCGAGCCTAGTATTTGATAAACTTTAGTATTTAAAAAAAAAAACAGAAAAATTATAAAATAAATAGCAAAAATAAATTCAGTTGTAGATTCAAAAAGGATAGACAACACAGGAGAAATTGCGAAAAAAAGTAAAATAAAAAAAATTAATTCGATCAGAAAAGGAATAAAAGTCATATTTCTAATCTATCAAGGCATCAGAGTAAGCTTCTTATTGAAATGTCTGGCCTAAAGATGTTACTTGTTCAATAAGTCATATTCTTTCAATAACGTAAAAACAGTTATTTAATAATTGACCACTAATACCTTTATCAGTACCAGCAGTTGTTGGCTTTTCCAATATGAAAATGGCAAAATATTTGTTGGTATCGTAGATATGACAACAACATCTGTGGAAGCACGATTTTATAATTATTAATTTTCCCGTATTATAAATAATTCTTTGAGGAATTCCTTTCTTCTTAAATTCTTCAGAGAGAAAGACGTAACGGCGATAAGGAAATGACTTGCGCTGTATTTGCCGAACGAAAACACACTCGTCTTTTTTTCTATGTTTTTTTTTTCTTCTTTTTTGTCAACTGTCTCTCACAGAAGTTCTCAACCGAGGTCCACATGCCCCCCGCCCGGTTGGCCGCTCCATGTAACATTACTGGGGGTCCACATAAAATTTTAGTGGTCCATAGAGCAATTTAACTTCAGAACGGTTGTTACTACTGAGAATTGGAATTTTTCCAGTAATCTACGCCAGATTAAAATACTAAGAATAGAAAAACAACTCTAAAACTAGCAGAAAACGAGATCAAGCGATGTAAGTTTTAGCGTCCCCTTTACTCTACCGGATGTTTCGATTGTAAATGTTGAATAAAAACTGAGAAGAATAGTTAAAGGAAGGAATATATATATATATATATATATATATATATATATATATATATATATATAGGGAAATTATATAAAGATTATATTAAGACATATTATGATTATACGTTTTTTTTATACATACATATATTTAAGTAAATGCTCTGTTTATAATTAACAGTATTAACAACATTTACCGGCCTGAATGTCCGAGAAATTTTCATAGAAAATATGCGTCCTCATGACAGGGATCGAACCTGTATCCTATACGGAACCGTCATGTAGCCTGACGTGCTTTTACCGCATGAGCCACAGAGGAGCGTTTCGGTTAGCAATACGGAACCGTCATATACAGTTTACATTTGGATACGCATCGAGCAGATATGAATGAATGAGAGAAAATCACGGAGAACTGTAGTTTTAAAGCAGTAAAATCGACCTTGTTAACCGAAACGCGAATTTCTTAACCTTGTCTTTATGATTTTAGCTTTGAAACTGTCCTTTCATCTTGGACTTGAGGGACTGATAGCGTGAAGATGACTTATTTTTTATTACTAAAACAGTTATCAGTATTTGTTTCTTTTGTTTTCTCTACCCAGGGCTCACTAACACAGGGGCTCACTTACCATAGGGCTAACTGACATCGTGGCCAATCCATCACCGTCTTAACACAGGTTAAACCTAATCGTTGGAGGTAGTCTTAGTTGGATTTTGCGAGTCTTCTCTCATTGTAGCTTGTTTTCTATGTTTCTACATCGATGTCATTCAAATTTACCTTACTTTTTAAAGATTCATAATTGACAACGGGTCTTTAATTTTAACGAATAAGTCAGCAGCCTAAAAAGGTTTAAAACGTTTTGGGCATTTTGGTTATACATGATTTCATTTTTTTTTTTTTTAATTTCTTGGGTTTTGCAAAGAGATTCAGTTACTTTGAGGTCCACTTTAAAATGAATCGATATTGGCACTATATTGATCGCAAAAGTTCCCTTCCGTTTTACGTCCACTTCACGACAAATCGATGGTCACCTCTCCGAACACAACATATATTTGTTGCGCAAACAGATCAGCGCATACGTATTATACGAGGATAATTACTATTATTATAGAATTGTTGAATTACGTTGACCATATTGTGCTTTACTTCATGTTTTATTCCCACATTGTTAAATTCATAGTAAAATTTATTTCTGTTCAACTGAAATTTAACACATCAAACAAGACGATTTCTTTTTTTCAAAATTCTTTCTCAGAAGCATCTTTAACTGTTTGATTTTCACAGATTCTAAATTGAAGTCGACAGTTTTGTGCTTAAAATTTCGACGAAGACAAATAAAATTGCATTTATTGTTAGGTTAATGAAGTTGGAAATATGGCTCAGAAAAGAAAATAGTTTTTTTTTGTTTTTAGATATTTACTCAGGTTAGATTATTGTTTTTTTTTTATTTCGTCATATTATGGCCGCTATTTATCCCAACAATTTACATTATAACAATTATTTTATTACGGATTTTGCTTCATTTCATTCTTGACATTTATGGCTGCATTCTTGGTCGATGCACATTTTAATATTAGTATTAATTTATTGCACGTTGCAGTTAGCAGAAAACGTTATATTAAAGAAAACAATTATTTTTTCTAATAGTGAAAGTGGCTCTGAATTGGTCTTGATGGTAGAGTTTATATGAAACTATTTACGAGGGATGGAATGTAAAGACCACAGGCTGACTATGAAGGAATGATGTAAATGCTGAATGAATGTAAAATCTTGCATGAATTAGTTTAAACTCTTTTATTAATATCTGCATAGTTTTTTTTTTTTCAGCTAAACTGATATCCGACTGTTCAAAGGAAACTTAAAAAGTAACTATTAGCGAATGTTTCTGCTTGGTGGGAGCCACATCTTCGGACATCTGATCAAAAGCGAACTAGACTGATACACATCACAGGAAAATCTGTTGAAAATGAGTAAAAAATGGCATCGTACTATCACCAAGTACTTACAGAAAAAAGGGTTTAGCTCCCAAAGACATTTATGCTGACATGGATTCTACATAAGGGGATGATGCTCCAGCTTTATCAAGAGGGGAAAAAATAGGCAGCCGAATTTAAGAGGGAAAGGATGTTTAGAAGATGATCCAAGGCCTGAACGCTCTGCGTACATTAATTTTGGTATATCCCGTGAGTGAGGTGAGAATAAACTGTTTAATGAATTTGGAATGCCGAATCTTTCTGCTTGGTGGGTGCCACATCTTCTGACATTTGATCAAAAGCGAACCAGACTGATACACATCACAGGAAAATCTGACATTGAGGATGTTGGAGTTTTTGGGTACTTTGGTGTACTAGTGAACTCATATAGAAAAGTGCTAGAAACATGGTCACTTCGTTGTACCACTCTAGAAAGTACAGGGAGGGGGGGGAAACAAAAAACGAAAAAGCGAATTTTATTTGGATAGCTTCTTCTCAAGACTCGCTACATTATAGACCAGACTCCCGAGTGTATGCTTTCCTGATCGCTATAAGCTTAACCATTTTAAGTCTAGCGTTAACCGATATCTTTCCTACATATCCTCATAATCTGCATTCGTTACCCCTCCCCTTACATTCATGTAACGACTTAATTCAGTAAACCACTACTTGCATTGGTTGAACAATTAGTAAAAAAAATGATAAATAAGTAGACTAGTTCGAGCGTTTCTTACCCGGATATATTCTGGCTCATCTGCATTCTACACTAGTCGTCGAGCAGATACTACACTCTGATCCTTATTAGAACAATGTAAGTTATATATAGACACAATCATTATTTTGATTGATTTGTTTTTACGGTTTATCAACCATTTGCAGTTATTTAAAGCCAGAAATATTTTTTAGATAATAGGGCTATTTTGAAGAAAATAATGATTTACGTATAAAAGTTCTACTAATTGTTATATAGGAATATAATGTCGCAACCGACACTTGAGTTTGAACATAGATTGCCAATGAGCAAACACAGGCGATCCCATTATTGAATTAAGTAGACCACGTGACCATAGAGGAAACGCATCTATGTAGGAAGTAGCTTGGCGTCTAAGGATCACCTTTCTAATCTATCCTCTATGACTATACGGACCGCTATTCTCTACTTTATTCACTATACTATTTCTCTATTCAGATCACTATACGTATTACTATTCGAGCGATTATTATCGAGTAAGTACTCTTAGCGCAAGTGATGTTCGAAGGCGTCTGACACCAGTATTGTTCAACGGTGTTACTATAGTTGTATATACGATTATAAAGTCTCTACTATAACGAGAATTACGGAACTGACGAGTATTCGTTGATATCACAAAAGGAAGAAAGAAAAAAAAAAGAATAAAAGTAAGAAAAAGAAATAAAGAATGAATGAAAGAAAGAAAGAGTGAAAAAAAAAACCCCAAAGAGTGAAAGACAGAAAAAGAAAGAAACAAAGAATGAAAGAAAGAAGAAGGAAGGAATGAAAGAAAGGGACAAAGAATGAAATAAAGAAAGAAAGAAAGAAAAAAAGAAAAGAATTAAAGAAAGAAAGAAAAAAGAATGAAAGAAAGAAAAAGAAGGAAGAAATGAAAGAAAGAGACAAAGAATGAAATAAAGAAAGAAAAGAATTAAAGAAAGAAAGAAAAAAAGAATGAAAGAAAGAAATAATGAAAGAAAGAAAAATAAACTGGAGGAGGAGAAGAGGATTCATACCTTTCCCGAGCGTATTAGCACGTGCCTCCTTTTTCTATTATTATACGGACCACTATTGTCTACTCTATTCACTATTTCTCTATTCGGATCGCTATACGGATTACTATACGAGCGAGTATTATTGAGCAAGTACTATTAGTGTGAGTGTTATTCGAAGGCGTCTGACACCAGTATTGTTCAACGGCGTTACTATAGATGTATCTATGATTAAAAAGTCTCTAATACAACGAGAATTACGAAAGTGACAACGAGTATTCGTTGCCTTTGACAGAGTGGCAACTAGTGTTCGTTGACATCACAGAACTAATTAACCCATAGTTTGGCTGAGGTGGAAGGGGGAGAAGAAATGAATTCATACCTTTTCCAAGAGTATTTGTGCATAAAGGCAACATAACGAACCCGACTGGAAGTGGAACACGGCTCTTCGATTTCCAATTACGAACAATTATCCATTACACCACCCGTACATCCATACTTACAGCACCTGGCTGTCAGCTGTATACGTACTGACCAGGCTTGACGTTGCTTAACTTGCACTGAAGGACCGCGAGATACTCCACTCTGTTGTAAGATAGGGACGCGAGACAGAATAATAGTATACATTTGAACTTCCGTAGGTTGAATAAGTCCGGAAAATGAATTTTATCGATTTTTCAATGACGTGATTAGTTGCGTGGGCGACGAAGACGACTTTTGCGTGATATTATTTTTTCACACTGAACGGCGTAACAATTTAATTGAGAAAAGCAATTCTTCGTGCTTTTTTTTCTCAATTTAGAACATAACGTACATTTTAAGTGAAAAAAAATCACAAAAATCTAGTAAAAAGTCTTTAAAAATATGAAATTTCATATTGCGAATATGCTGCATTTAAAATCTATTTACTAGATATTATTTCTTTGATTGTTTTTTTTTTTTAAATAAATTCAGTCCCAAGCAAGACGATAATGCCATTAAGAAGAAACGGCTAACAGTGGTGAAAGAGAATGAGAAGAATTAAGAAAGGGACCGGAAACCAAGTCCTAAACAGGAAACTAGGAATCAAACTCTACTCAAAAGATTGGGGAGGAGTATAGGACTACCTGATGAATGTTGGTAAATAGACCAGTGTTCTTAAGGCGCATTGATATAACGAAAGTTGCATTCAAGAAGCTAAGTAGAGTATTAAGAAACAGAAAAAAAAAACGGAGATTGCCCAACATTCACTATCATATAGCTGGACTGATATTACATAACAATTCAGTAGTCTTTTCTTGGTTTCTAACAAAATTTTCCTGGCATAGCTAAAGTTGTATTCCAAAAGATAATCAGAGTATTAAAAAAACAACAGAAAAAACTTCATTTGAAACAAAGAAAAGAGTACTGAACTGTTACATGATATCTGTCCTTCAATATGGCAGCGAATGGGGGACAATCTCTTCAAAGATGAAAACGAGACTTGAAGCAACAGAAATGTGGTCCTACAGCAAGATGCTGTGGATACCATGGATCGGATATATGTGCAACAACAGGAATAAGCAGTTGCTATTTCTAGGGCACATAACGAAGAAAGGGGGTTTGGAAAATCTGATACTCTCGGGACAGATTGAAGACAAGAAGGACAGAGGGAAACAACACATAGCGTATTTGAATTTGAGTAAATGGATGGCGGAAGAAAGTTTAGGTGAAATAAAATTTATTAAGAGCTGCAAAGAACAGGAAATTATAGAGATCTACTACGTTCCGATGGGTATGTATAGCTGGCCACTCGTATTCGAGTATACCCGTCTACTAGGGTGGCTAGCCAATCCCTGTTGCAGACGCTTGCTCAGGCACATATTTGTGCTTATTCACCCCCACCCCCCCAGCACACCTTAGTTACAGTTTCTGGGTAAGGGCGTCTTATCTAGCGTGATCAATAATTTGAACAAGGCTAGCACACTCAAGCCCTCGGCCACGATGACTTGTGAGTTCGTGCTAGCACAGCTATAGACGGGCCCAACGGTTCCGTCTACTCAATTTCACTCACAAGGCTAGGGTCAACTCGTGGTATGATTTTCAGGCAAATTGACCGTAGTGAGATTCGAACCCGGGGCTTATGGCCAGAAGACGAACGTTTTAACCACTCGGCCACGAGGGATACGGCACATAAAGAAAAAAAATTAATAGGAACGGCATTAGCATCAACAGCATCAGTGTTGACACTTACAACAACAACAACAGCACTAACAACAACAGCAACAACAACAACAACAACAATAACAGCAACAACAACAACAGAGAATATGTTCTTTGGCCAAAATTTAGAATTCCTTAAAGACAGAAAGTTCTATTCTAAAGTTTGGGCAAATAGACGCTTGTGTAGATCATTCTGTATTTTTTGTTGCTGTAATAGTAATATAAAAAAATGAAGGAACAGAGGGTGGCTTGGATTCAACCACGGTGTCAGCACAAATCAGTGACTGTGCTGGAAAGAAAGAAAATAATAAAATACTTTGGACTTTCGATGACTTGGCTGATCATTCCATCAAAGCAAGAAGGCTGTTTATGTTAATCTTGAATAAGGAAAAAAAAAAAAAACAAGTCATGGACGTTCACTACAGGTAAGAAATTTGGGGAAACCATGCATGTCTTAAAAAATCCCACAAAATGAAATATGCTAGTATTTTTAAAAGTAAAAGATAAAATTTCACTAACTAAAATGTAATTACTTTTATTTTGACAAAAAAAAATAAGCATTTAACTATACAGAATATACAACAGCATCATATTTTGTTTTCGTCAATAAAACCACTACCTGCCTTAATTACGTCTTTACAAAAAAATATCATACAACAGCATCATATTTTGTTTTCGTCAATAAAACCACCACCTGCCTTAATTACGTCTTTACAAAAAAATATCATACAACAGCATCATATTTTGTTTTCGTCAATAAAACCACTACCTGCCTTAATTACGTCTTTACAAAAAAATATCATACAACAGCATCATATTTTGTTTTCGTCAATAAAACCACCACCTGTCTTAATTACCTCTTTACAGATTCTTGGCATCCTTTCCAACGCTTTTTGAAAAAAAAAGTAGATGGTGACCTTTCCAATTATTCTTAAAGCAAAATCTTACTCTCACTCTTTGGGTATTCTCTTTGAACTCGCCTATCCAATTAATCCTATACTAATTCAAAGGTTGAGAGGTCAGGAGGTTGAGGCGGTCAAGTCATTATTTCCAAAATGTTGCTCATTTTTTCTTGATTCGAGGTTATTTTGACATAATTTAGAAACGTGTTTTGGGTTGATGTCTTGTTTAGAAGAGATTTTTCCAAATTATGTTTACACCAGATAATATTCCCTTGACCTGAATCAAATCTCTAGCCCTTTTGACAATCGCGAAAAGTCTACTAAGGTGTTAATGGCGAAAACATACAAAATATTCATAATTTAGCAAAATGCATTGTGAACAGACGAATCCAAATTTGAACTTTTTGCTTGTAAGTGAAGCCTGGAAAAGACTGAAAAAGAAAAGCAAATAAACTGTAGTTACTAAAAAATACAAACAAAACACCTCATTTCAAGTGTTCTTAAAAGAAATAACTTTTAACCCCAAACATTTGCCTGTAGTGTATTTGTGATGGCGACTCGTATAATGAAAATGACTGCGAGTTGAAAATTATAATATTATCAGGACCTTACTCGGTAGCAGAGAAATATACATAATACGAAGCAATTTCCCTAAAAGTAGGTGCATTTGGAACTATGTCAAAAAATTCTATGTTCAATTTCTTTACCTCTTCTACTAAATTTATTATATCTGACACATACGAGCCCAATTTTTGTTATGGATTCAGGCACCTGTCACCAATAAATTAAATTGGTTCGAATCTATACGCAAAACCCGACAAAAATCATCAGTTTAAAACTTCAGTGTCTCTCTCCTTCATCAACGTAAATATCATAGGAATACTTAAAGGAGGAAAGGACTCACGCGAAATGTTCTTTTTTCATTTTCTCATTGATTTTTCTATCATAATATAAAAGAAGACACGACAGGGCGGCAACAGTCATAGTCTGAGAACTGTGCAAGTGTTCTGGACAAAATCAAATCATCAAATACTGTGCAATTTCGATAGTGGCACAGACCATTCCATCAAACCATGAAGAGAGCATCTGATAATGGTGAATAAGGGGAAAAAACACGAAGAGATCTTGGACATATCTGTGCCGGCGACACGTATAATAAAAATGAAGTAGAAAGGACAACTACAGAAATATCAGAATCTTAAACAGTATCAAATAAAAATAAGGTTTGGTTTAGTTTGCTTTGGTTTGTTTTACGACATATCAACCTCAATGGTTGACACAATATAATGCCGACACAATTTTTATTGCTGGCAATATTTTCTTTTCAAAAAAGTATTGCTGATAATATATTTTTTCCAAAATTATATTGCTGGTATTAAAACTTATTTTTACACTTTCATAGTGTTTTGACCCCAGTTTGAAGGTCATCTATTTGCCCATAGCTTGGATCCTAACAGGTGTTACTTCCCCGGGTCAGAGTTCATACACAGGTGTTACTTCCCCGGTTCAGAGTGGACCTGGGAACACCAGCAATTAAGAAGTGGTTCCACATTCCTCAAAATGTCCTGATTAGTGGCCTTGCTGCTGGATGAATTTTATCATCATACCCAGGACACGGATGTAGTTTATCGCCATACACAGGACGCCGCATAGAGAGGTATAGTTGGTGTATTCTGAAACCCCAGCCGACAGGGTATAGAAAAATAAATAAGATGAAGAAAAGGGTGGAATCTGTAATTGTTTGGAACCGAAAGGTGAGAAATATTTCAATTTTTGTACAGATCGGAGCGCTCCAAGGCTTTGAAATATTATGGTACTTTGAGTGTATTAAGACTATTCTTCAGGATCTATCTATATTTCTGAGATGAGGTATTATGTACACTATTTACATTATTCGGACTATCGTTTTCATCTTTATTGCCATATTTATGATAACGTTTCGGCCGTTGTACGCTCTGGCCTTCTTCAGGTGGCTGGAATGTCGAACTGAACCCTTCATTTCATTATTTATTTATAACAGCAAAAATTGCAATATAATCTCTGATAGAAATGGTTGCTGAGACATTAAGTTTATAAGTCCCAGAAATTCTTACACAGGTGTTACTTCTCCGGTTCTCCTTGTTGACGGACATAGGTTCTTCCAGCATCCACCCAAAATGGTCAGCATTACCGCCTAAAGGCACTTGATGTAGGCTTCTGTGTTGAGTCTGAAGCCCTGTGGGAAGATAAATAGAGGCATAACGTCACCATCATTAGTGGCCACTCCAAACATCTACCCAATCACCATTAGAATAATCTGTTCGAGTCCTTTGCATTGTCCTCAGATTGACACCCAAACACTCTTAAATGTTCGAATTGAAGCTTCTGGCGCTAATGCCAAGCAGTATAGCATATCGTTTCCAAATTTCTGGCTGAGAGAATTGCGTCATTGTGCTCTTTTTCTCACAGACGGTGCACAAATGACACTACTACTACAGTCGACAAAATCAAAAACAAACAACGCGCATGCGTGAAATTAAAAATATAAAATAGCGACAATTTAATCATCGCACCTTGTATAAAAATGTACTGCTGGTATTTTTTTTTACTATGAAAATAAAATTTTATAATTTCACAGCATTTCTTTTGTGGGGGGGGGCGTTCACTTTTTGCCCATAGCTGGGACCCTAACAGTTGCTACCATCCCGGTTGCTACCACATTGGACCTGGGAACAACAGCAATTAAGGAGTGGATCTACGCCCTTCAAAATCTCCAATTTACCGATCAGAAGCATTGCCTGCCAAATTTAGTTTATCATCATACCCAGGACTAGTGCCTGATGAATCTTATTTACTGGAGATTAATGTGCAAGATAAACGATGCATGTTTCATGGCACTATAGAAACATTAAAAACATGCCGTCGCTTGCGTTGGTATTTATAAACATCTGCCAGATTACAACAGGGTGGGAGGGAGAAACATCTGTTGTCATATCTGGGCGGGATCTGTCAAGACCTCAATTTCCAGCCTTGATAGAGTTCGAAGGTCTCTCCGAGCCCTCGTGGGTGACGAATTATTCTTCACTCTCCCACAAGCCGGAGGTGGTAAGCCTCTCACTGCTCTACCGCTAGAGCCATAGAAAGTGCCCGGACGAACTATATTAATTGGTCTCGTCATGGCAAACCTTCACGACAAGAACTCACAATGCCTCTTAAATAGTAGCTGACCATCACCATTCCCTCTACATTCCATTTAGAAGTAAGTTCCACTCGAACAGCCTGTCCTCTGAAATCGACTCCCAATAGGATGTTTCCCTGATCACTATAATCTTAATCTATTTAAGGCTAGAGTTAATCGTTATCTTCCTCATCTATACACACAAATGGCCTCCTGAGGTAAACCTCTACTTCGAGTGGTCTCCGGGCCTTGTAAATGGTAACACTCACTGTAAACAAACAATAAAATATCAAAGTAAGGAAAAATCGATCTCTAATTTAACAGCAGAAGAAAAATTATGAAAACAAAGGAAAACTTGAATAAAAAAAAACTTATTTAAAATATTCCTTATCGATCAAAAAGCAAAAAAGTACAACCATAAAAAAAAAACAATCGATTAGACCTTGATTTCTAAAAGTTTGCAGACTTGGTTTCACAAACGTGATTACACTGCCAATATGGCGTCTTCTTCTTCTTCTTCTTCTATGGACTTCAGGACGTATTTGATCATGGCTCTCCACAACTTCCTATTATTCATACCACCAAGTAATGTTTGTCTCCTTACTATTCTGCCTTTGATGCTACGTAGAGGTCTGCTTTCGTTCTCATTTTCCTGTAAAATTCCTTGTTAAAATATAAAAGACTAAAAGCAGGGAATGAATTAAATCCTTGAGTATAGTACAACCTCGTAGTATAGCCATTCGTATGTAAATATTTTTTTTTGAAACTTGTACTATATTATCCATTAAAATATCAATCTCATACATATATTACGCTAAAATATTCAATTTTTCACGATGTGAAAGAATAGAAATGAACCGGATGTTTAGTCATTGCGTCTTTTTTCTTATTCTCTGTTTCAATTTATTTTAAATTTTCTGTGCTATTTACATTATTTTGAACAATCCTTCTATATGATATTGAATGAAGGATAATTTCCTCACAGATGAAGCGGCGATCTGAGAACAGAAATACAGTTCTACAGAAGACTTCTGAGAATTTCATCGACTGAATATGTGGGTAATGAAGAAATTTTAAGAAAAATGGAACCAAAAATGATGCTTAAACTTAGAATCAGAAAGAAAGAGTTGAAATTTCTGAGACACATAATGAGGAAAGGAGGCTTGGAGAAGTTGATACTCACAGGACAAAAGAATGCCGAGAATATCAAGGACTGAACAAGTGAGCAACACAGACGTTTTATCACGCTATTTACATTATTAGGACTACTGTACTCATTGTACTTTGTTGCCAAATTTATCACAACGTTTCGGCCGTTGTACGCTACGGCCTTCTTCTTTGAATTTCCAACCGAACCCTTTATTTTGTCCCCCAGATTAGATTGTTCGAGTTCCACGTGCCATGTCTCTTCTGGATGTCTCAGTTATTTACCTTTAACTCAACTCTCCAAGTCTTTTGGTTCACCATTGCTGTAGCCTGGTATTGACTCCTTGGGTCTAATCACCGGATATAACCAACAGTCCGAATAATGTAGATAATGTACATAATGTAAATAATCATAATACCTCATCTCAGAGAAATAGACAGATATTTCGTTAATATTTTGTAATATCAATATTATCAAAACATCACAGATATTGGGTATTTCGTTTAATTTTTCAGTCAATTTCGGTGAATTTCCCGTCCTTGTGTTCAGTTGCGCTGATTTCCAAAGAACAAATATTGTCGACATATCAAACGACATTCGCAAACAATTGTTATCAACACCTTCTTATTTTGTGGTTTGTTACTTATTGTTACCTATTATTATCTATTGTTCTGAGTCTATTTACACTCTTACTGTTTCAAATAAGAGGTTTTTGAAGCTGATTAAAAATTTCTGAAAACGTGTGCTTATATATAATACGGCCCCCTACTTTATTTTCGTTCAAAATTTCTTATAAAGGGTGTTTCATTAAGACGGATCAAAGTCAGTGGTAAATAAATCAGTATTATTGGTGAACATTTCTCTAGTGGATCATGTCATTAAAGTCATGGAAATTATGTGTGAAAAATAATATCGCCCAAATGTCTGCAAAGGCTTCGGCGGCACACCTTCACTGGATGGTCAAAATTTTTTATATCTTTGCATAGTTGCTCCTCGATCTCACCAGTATGCCTTATTGTCTCATCCTTCAGCTGTTGAACTGTTGTTGGCTTGTTGCCATAGACCTTACTTTTGAGATGACCACAAAAGAAGAAATCTAAAGGCGTCAAGTCGGACGATCGTGGTGGCCAATTGACTTCGCTGTTTCGAGAGATGATGCGACCTGGGAACTTCTCATTCAATAAAGCCATTGTTTCATTTGAACGTCCATTTTAGTAAGAGGCTTCCATAACTTTAACACGTTGTTCAATTGTTAATCTTCCCATGGTTGAAATTGCCAAAAACATAAGTTGTTAAATCTGAAAGAAAAAGAAAAAATATCATTAGACTCTTAAACTTAATTCACATTTAAAATCGAGCCAATTTGTTGGAAAAACCTATATATATAGTGAGTGACTTTCTAAGCGTAGCTTAGATGTGACACAAGGCCGAAAGTGGTTACCCAGTTGCAATTGATCTAGCGAGACAAACTTGCTAACCATTATAACAAATATATATAATCGTTGGCTGTATATTTATAAATTTGAAAGTCCATTTTTGTAATAGGCTTCGACAACTTTAACACGTTGTTTGATTGATCTTCCCATGTTTGAAATTGCCAAAGACTTAAATTGTTAAAGAAAAAGAAAAAAAAAATCATTGGACTCTTAAACTTAATTCACATTTAAAATCAGCCCAAGT